AAGCGCTGATAAAGCGAGCAAGTTAAAATGCAGTGATAAAGGCTCAGATAAAGCAGAGCTGCTCTGTTTGCATTTTATGGCAGGCAGGAGCTGCTCTGGTGGCTGCTGCAGCCTTTGGGGATGTGTGACCCTATGCTGGCAGCAGCGGGGTTGCAAGGTTCTGGCATTCCTGTGCTTGGTTTGCAGCTGGATAAGCAAATGCTGGATGCAAGCAGGGCTGCTGGGTGCACAGTGCTGGGGTTCTGTGCTCTGTAAAGGCCATCAGATTGGTGACACCCTCAGAGCCCTGCTGGTTCTGTGTCATCTTGTCCTGCAAGGACGCAGCAGGGGCAGCATTGCTGCAGGATGCTCTCATTCCCCTGCCTGGAGCATCTCTTAGTGGTCCAGCGATGGTGGGACAACGGGGTGCAGAGTGTTGGGAGCCACCCTGCCCACGGTTTGTCCTCCTTCCTGCAGGTGCTGCGTCCACAAGGGAGCAAACAGTGCCACCAACCAGCACAGCTGGGACAGCCACAGCCTTCAAGAGGTTCCCAGGAATGAGGGATGGGAGGAAGGGAGGAGAGCAGCAGGGAATGCTCCTTGGTGCTGCTGGTGGGGCTGTGGGGAGGTGGGATGAGCTGCAGGAAGAGGGAGAGGTTATTGGAGGGGTGAGGCTTCTCCCAAAGGCTCCAGGCCTTCCTCACACCTCTTCCTCCTTCCCCACCCAGACTTAATTCTCTCTAATCTGCACGGGGACGTGACTGCACAGCACAGGGACCTCTGGTGCACGTCAGCAGGGACCCAGGGGCCGGTCAGAGGTGAGCAGATCCTCCTTGTGCAGAGCATAAAGCAGTTCAGAGGCTTCCATCGGCCTGGGGAACTTTCCAAAGGTTCCTCCCTGCAGCAACCGAGCCAGCATCCTCCCTGCATGCAGCACTGGGGCCGATTCCTGGCTGTGAGCAGCAGCATTTCCACTCCAGCATCAGCTCCTTGAGAGCAGGAGCAGCTCCGAATTGCTCCCAGCTGCCAGTGGTCAAAAAGCAACAGAGCAAAAGGGAGGTTTGTGGCCAGAGAGTGCAATGTGCGGACGGGGGGGATGCACACGTGGATGGGGGATGGGAAAATGCACACGTGGATGGGGAGATGCATACGTGGAGGCAGGGATGCACACAAGGAGATGCACACATGGATGGCGAGGTGCCCGCATGGATGGGGAAATGCACACCTGGAGGCAGAGGTGCCCAGATGGATGGGGAGATGCATAGATGTGGATGAGGAGATGCCCACAAAGCACCAGGGCTGCTGCAGTCTGTGCCCACGGTGTGGGGCAGGAAACGTGGCACTGGTGTTTGCTTAGGAAAAGGCATGGTTCCTGCTGCCAGAGGAAGGAAGCACTCGGGGTTGGGAGGCCTGTTTGGGGGCCAGGAGGAGCTGCACCTCCAGGCACAGCCCGAGTTCAGGCCGACATGTGGGGCATGAAGGCAGAGCTTCAGACGATCCAGCACACGGATGAAGAGGATGGTGGGAGGAAGGATTGCCAGTTCCCCATCCTACACGACAGCTCCAGGGTGGTGACAGTGGTGAGGAGCCCAATATTGACCCCAAAGTCCCCGGGGTGCCTGCAGACTGCTCGCCTTTAGCTGATGTTCCTCCCTGCTGGTTGGGCTGGGGGCCGTTTAAATATAGATTTTAATAGAGAAAAATAAAAGGTTAATTTCAAAAGTGACAGCTCACTTTGGCAGCAAACCTTTGCTTTCTGGCCTAAAGCCCCAGTGTCTGCGCTCCCAGGACCCCTGGGCCGTGTTCCAAGTCCCCTCCTCTGCCCTAAACCTTTGGATACCGGGGGGCTTCGAGTGTGTCGAGTGGGAAAAGGGACAGAACGTCCCAGGAAGGACGGGGACACGTGGGGACACCGCGGTGCTGAGGGATGGGGCTGAGCTCGGGGCCGGGGGGGCCCACGGAGATGGGAGCTTTGGGGACGAGCTGTCCATAAAAAGGTCCCCGGGGTGCGCAGCGCTCGGGGTCCGGTTGGGAACGGAGGATCGAGGCATTCGGGGCGGGGCGGGGTGCGAGGACGGCCCCGTTCCCTCCTCCCATCCGTTCTCTCTCCGGGGCGGAGCGCGGCGGCGGCGGCGGCGGCTGCGGCGGTACCGGCACCGACCCCGAGCCCAGCCCGGCCCGGCCCCGCGGAGCCGCCGCATGAAGGTGCGCGGGGCCGGGACCGCCATCGCCACCGGAACCGGGACCGGGATCGGCAGCGGGGGGGAGGCGGAGCGGCGGGGAGCGGCTCCGGTGGGGACCCGTTGCCGACGGACCGGGCTGGAGCGTTGTCTCGGGGCTGTCCCCCCCGCCACGCCGCCGCCGGTGTCACCCGGTGGTTCCGGTGGGGACAATAAGCGGCTGTCGGTGCTGCTGAAGAAGATGCACTTGTTCCGGAGCTCCAGCTACGAGATCAGGCTGGAGGGAGAGGGGGGGAGCCTGCCCCGCATCCAAGGCATCCGCTGGGTGAGTGCGGGGCAGCGGGGGCTGTGGGTTACGGGGACAAGAGGGAGGTGGGATACGGGGATGTGGGACAGTGGGGACAGTGGGTATGGGGACATGGGGAGAGCAGGGGCCGCGGGTACTGACCCCACATGCAGGATCTTGCATGCTGTTTGCCTCCACCTCTGCGCCCTTACCAGAACGAACATCTCCAACCCCCTCCACCCCTCTGCCCCCGTCCCATTTCATGTCCCTTTGCCAAGAGCTGTTGGCACCTGCTGGACAAATGTCCCCAGTGCCAGCCCCACGCTGTCCCCTCTTGCTGGGGGTGGCCCTTTCCCACAGTGGGACAAACCTGAAGGAAAAAGAGGGAAAACACTTTATAGGAGCATCCCACCCCGCACCCAGGGGCTGGGGGAGTTGGAGCCGAGCGGGATCCCCATGCTGAGCTCAACCCTCCGCCCTTCCCCGCCTTCCAGGTGCCCTGAGGTCCGTGCTGTGCTTCCCTGTTCCCATTCCTTGGCCGTGAGCTCAGCTGTGCAGCCTTCAGCCCCAACCCAGGGGCAGATTTGGCAGCAAAGCACAGAACGAACCAGGTGCCACCGTGCTCCAGAGCGCAGCGCCCGGGCAGAGCACCCCAACCCACTGCCAGCAGGAAACACCTTCCCCACACCCAACCCTGGCTTCCATACATTCTCTCCCCAGCAGCTCAGGCCGTTGCTTACAAGAGAAACCGGTCGCTTGGCAGCGGTTTGGTGCACACCGCCACAACCCCAACCTTCTGCTGTTTCCCTATGGGGCAAAACGTCCCTTTGCAGCCCCCCTCAGTGCTGGAGGGGTGGAGGGGCTGCAGCCGTTCACCTTCACACAGCCTGGCTGAGGACAAACCTTAGGGAACAAAAGGAAATCGCTTTATTCCGTCTGTTTGCATTCCTGTACAACCTCCTTCCCGAAGCAAAAAGCTCCCCATGCTGCAATGGAACTTTCTGTTCTCCCCCCCCCCACACTTTTTCTTTTCTTCCCTATCCTTCTGGATGCTTTTCTCCCCAGAACTTTAAGGGTTTGGGGACTCCATGTTGGATGTTTGCTCTCTGTGAAGCACGGGGCAGCAGCGCATTGCAACACTTCTGCTTTAAAGCGCTGGGCTGGCAGAAATTGGGCAAAATAGGGCAAAATGTGAAGCATGGTGGCACTCACAGCGTGGCAGAATTGTGCCCCCCCTCTTCCTCTCTGTGCGGCCTCCCGGTGCTCGGGGACACCCCCTGGGCATTTGTGGGGAAGGGGACAGAAGGGACGTTTTCTCCTGCAGGTAGGAGGGTGGTGGGGCAGGGAGGAGGAATGAGGGTTGGGTTGGCTGTGCCTTGGGGATGCCACATCCCTCCTCTCCATTGCTGCAGCTCCTGGCTCTGTGTCACTCCCCCCCACCTCTCCAGGAGTCTCCCTGGCACCGAATGTCTCCCAGCTCAGTGGGGTGACACCAACCACCGTCCCCAATGGCTGCACTCACCCCACGTGTGCCACGGTCATCCCATGTGTGCCACGATCATCCCACTTGTGCCATGGTCATTGTCACCCCACATGTGCCACAGTCATTATCACCCCATATGTGCCATGGTCATGCCACGTGTGCCACGGTCATCGTCACCCCATGTGTGCCACTGTCACCCCATGTGTGCCATGGTCATTGTCACCCCATGTTTGCCACTGTCACCCCATAAGTGCAACGGTCATTGTCACCCCACGTGTGCCATGGTCATTGTCACCCCATGTGTGCCGTGGTCACCCCACATGTGCCACAGTCATTGTCACCCCATGTTTGCCCCTGTCACCCCATGTGTGCCATGGTCACCCCATATGTGCCATGGTCATTGTCACCCCACGTGTGCCATGGTCACCCCATATGTGCCATGGTCATTGTCACCCCATATTTGCCACTGTCACCCCATAAGTGCAACGGTCATTGTCACCCCACGTGTGCCATGGTCACCCCATATGTGCCATGGTCACTGTCACCCCATGTGTGCCATAGTCACCCCATATGTGCAACGGTCATTGTCACTCCATGTGTGCCACCATCATCCCACGAGAGCCACTGTCGTTGTCACCCTACATTTGCCACTGTCACCCCATAAGTGCCATGGTTATTGCCACCACAAGTGCGCCATGGTCACCCCATGTGTGCCATCATTGCATTGAGGGGATGGACCCCTCCCAGCGGGGGTCGTGGGGACAACTGAGCCCCTGGCGTGGCGCCTCTCCTTCAGAGCCTGCGGATGGGCGAGGACTTTCTCTGGAGCCGTAAAACCCAAAATAGCTCCTTGTTGTTTTTCCCCGGGATCCCAAACAAAGCAGAACGCTCACTGCCGGCCTTGGCCGCTCGCCCACGGCTGCCGGATTTCTGGAGCCCACCAGGATCCCTCCTGTCCCGTAAGCAGGAAGATGGAAACAGGCAACTCCTTCGGAAGCTCTTTGGAGACGGCGGCTGCGGGGCTGCAGCCATCGGGGGGCTGGGAAGGAGGGAGGAGGGGGGGGAACATCCTGAAGGGCCGGACCTGGGAACCATGGGGTGCCGTGGTGCAGGAAGGGGAGCTGGTGGGGAGAAACCTCAGTGAGCAGCTGTCCTTGGGCAGGGAAGCGTTTCTCAGTCTCCTTGGCCGTCCTTGCTTGGAGCAGCACCGTGGCACGGCTTGGCTCTCTGCCCCAAGGACGGAGCGGGGTTACAGGGGTGACTGCGGAGGCGGCTCTGCTTGGGGACGGGCGCAGTGGGTGGCATCGCCCTGCGGGTCCCGCAGCTCCGGCTGCAGCCCGGCTCCGGGTTTGCAAACATTTGCTCGACAACCGTCGGTGCGTTTCCTGCTCGGCGGGGCGTCACGAGGCACGGGGAAAGTTTGCTGAGTGAGTAAGAGGAGGCGTCCCCGCATTGGTGACAGCGGGAGGCTGCGGATGCGGCCGGAGAGCGCTGCGCTCCTGAGCTCCTTTGCTTCTGCCTCTTCCTGAGCCTCTTGCAAAGGGCTGCCGTGAGCCCGGGGAGGAGGAAGAGGAGGAGGAGGAGGAGAAAGAGGAAGGCTGTGGGGTGCGGAAAGGGCTGGAGGCGATGGAGCAGCCTGAGCCATGCAGAGCAGCCAGAGGTGGGTGCCCACCTCCAGCACCTGCCTGCACCCGGTGGTGCCGGGAGGTTCGGGGTCCCTTCAGCTCCCTGCAAAGCAGTTTTATTTTGCATTCAATTCATTTGTAGAGGAGGATTCTGCAGCTCCTCCGCCTTGGATTCTTGCATTGAGGCTTTCAGCTGCTCTGTGCCTCTCAATGGAGTTGCTCAAAGCTTCCTTACCCTTTCAATTACACGGAAGATCTGACCCAGAAGACTCTGAATTCCCAAAATCGCATTATGAGCGCTGCCCAAAATGGCCTTTTGAGCACCTCCACCAGCCCTGAGTGCTGCAGGATCTTCCCAGGGAGGTTTTCAAATCCTCCACAAACAGCCTGAGGGCACAAAGCCTTGCTCTGGAGCTGCTCCCAGAAGGATGCTCCATGCCGTGCCATAGGGCTCGAGCTCCAGATGCCTTCAGTGCGCGATGAAGGGCTGTTGGGAGCTGGTGGCACAGCCAGAAAGGGGGGAAAACAGCAGAAAAAAAGCAGAATCAGGAGGAAAAAAAAGCACTGCTGATGGCAGTGGTCTAAAGGAAGGGCAGTGGTGAAGGATGCAGATGGAGAGGGCTGAGCATCACAACCATTTGGGTGGAATATCCCTTGTGGTTGAACGCGAGCTGCTCCAGTTTGCAGTGTGCAGAGCAGCATCCCTGGGCCCTTCTGCTGGAATCCGACGTCTTTTCCATCCTCCTCTCCTGGATGAGGCTTCAAAGCTGGAGGAGAAGCTCGGGGCTTTCCCTCGCCCTTCCCTTCCTGCAGGTCGCTCTGATGTCCTCCGCCAGCAGCGAGCGCTCGCTCTGTGTCTCACATCGGTGCCTTTGATCCCTTCGCGCAAAGGCTTTGCTTTTAACTTCCTCCTTTCATCCTTTCATCTCCCAGCTCTTTCCCTTCGGTGCGTTCCCCATCCCGGAGTGAAACGTGGCTGCAGGGCAGGTTGCAGGGTTTGGGTCCCCTGCTGTGCACGTGGGGGGGTTGCTGCAGCGCAGAGATGTGGGGTGCGTTGAGCCGCGTCCGTTCGTGGCCCCATTCAGGCATCCCAGCTCCTCCTTGCTGGTTTCCAGCAGTGCCTGAATTGTTCTCCCTGATGGATGCAGGGCATTCCGTGTTGGTGTGGCTGAAATGGGCCAAAATAAAGCTGGAAGTGGGTGGTTGGTGGATGCAGGTGTTGCAGGGGGGACCGTTCAGGAGGACGGTGCTGGTGGGGGCTCAGGGATGTGTGTGCACCCCCTCCTGGTGCAGAGCAGATGGGGCTGAGTGATGCACGGTGTGTGCAGGAAGGGAGTTAGGGTTAGGGTTCCACTGGACTGCACTGCTTTCATTGCATTCCACGGCATTGCATTTGGGTTAGGGTGAAATTTAGGACTAGGGGTTGCATTGCATTGCTCTGCATTGGGTTAGGGTTGGTGGTTAGGGTTAGCAGCTAGGGTTAGGGCTAAGGTCAGGGTTAGGATTACATTGCATTCCATTGCTTTGCATTGTGGATTTCATTGCATTTCATTGCGTTTGCCCTTCTTTTTGGGGCCACCAACACTTTCTATTTGCTTTTCCAGACCCCGCTTTTGGATGCTGAATCCTCCTTGGATTATGGACACAGCCTTACCCAGGTGAGGATGCTGCAGAGACACGAGTGTGGCATTCAGAGAAGGGCTGATGGGGGGAGTAATAAAAGGAAGGCTGCGGTGGGGGGGTGGGAGGCCATGATGGCACAGTGGATCCTTTGGGATCAGCCATTCCTGGGGCTGGGGATGGAGATCCTGAGGTGCTGGGATGGGCTACAGCTGGGCACTGAGCAGGTTCAGCACAAAGAGGTGCGAGGAGCTCTCACTGCCCAACACCCTCCAGGCACCATAGAACCTCATTTCCCCTCCAGGCATCCTCGGAGAAGATCTGGAGAGCTGGAAAGCTCCTCTTCACCTACCTCACCAGCACCAGCCCCAGCCTCATCCGGGACCATAAGCATCACCTGCGGCACCACAGGTGGGACCTCCAGCACCCCTTGGAGACCCTCGGAGGGTGGGGGTCCCTCGGAGGGGTCCCAGATGCTGCAGCCTCATTGTGGGTGTTTTCCTCACTCTTCCCTCTCTTTGCAGGAGGTGCTGCTCTGGAAAGGAGCTGGTGGACTGGATGCTGAATGCAGAGCTGGGCATCCAGACAAGGAGCCAAGCCATCGGCGTGGGGCAGGTGCTGGTGGACGGCGGGGTCCTGACGCACGGTGAGGGGGTCCCTGAGGGCATCCCGGGTCACCCATGGATCCACACCCCCAGCTCATGTGCTCTTCCCTCCCCGCAGTGAAACAGGAGTGGCATTTCCAGGACAAGGACACCCAGTTCTATCGCTTTGCTGAGTTGGAGCTGAGCCCCGAAGCCCGCATGGGGCTGCGGGATGCGGAGGAGCTGCTGGAGGCGGTGACCTTCCTGGCACAGTTGGGGCCTGATGCACTGCTCACCATGGCCCTGCGCAAACCGTGAGTGCTGGGGGGCTCCTGGGGGGCTTCTAGGTGCTCCTGGGGGCTCCTGGTTACTCCTGGGGGTCCCGGTGGCTCGATTCCGTCCTGCTCCAATCACAGCTGGAGGTGCTGCAGATAGGGAATCCCAAGCATCCTTTCCCCCTCTGGAACTGGAGAGGATGCAGGAGGGAATCCAGAACTTTGAGATGCTCTCAGTGGCCACTTACCACCCCTGTCCCCCTCCCAGGCCTGCCCAGCGCACAGAGGATGAGCTGGAACTCATTTTTGAGGAGCTGCTCCACATTAAAGCCGTGGCTCACCTCTCCAACTCGGTGAGTGCGGGCTGCACCCTGCTGCCTCCATGCCTGCATCCATCCCCTCCAAACCCGCCTGCATCCCACTGCCTCCCCTCCACGCATCCTCCTGCTCTCCTGGCCCTTTGCAGCCACCCCTGGGTTGTCACCCTGCGTGTCCCCTCCATGCTGAGGGTGGCTGCTCCTTGCTGCAGGTGAAGCGAGAGCTGGCGTCTGTGCTGATGTTCGAGTCACACCAGCGAGCCGGCACCGTGTGTGAGTGTCCCCACTGAATTCCGTGTGCTGGGGGATGGGATGGCCCCTAGGACAGCATCCCCAGGTTGGGTGGGCATTGCTGTCCGTGTGGATGCTCCTGCTGGCTCTGTGGAGCAGGGGTGGCTGGGTGGGATGGGGCGGATGAAGGTACTTTGGGGTCTCACCCATCTGGCTGCAGGTTGTTGTTGGGATGGGGGCTGACGAGGGATGCTCTGGCTCTCACTCACACCACCGTTTCCCCCGCAGTGTTCAGCCAAGGGGATAAAGGCACCTCGTGGTACATCGTCTGGAAGGGTTCGGTGAACGTGGTCACCCATGGCAAGGTAGGTGCGTCCCCAAGCCTCCACCCCATCCCTGCTGTCACCTTGGTGCCAAGGTGCGCCCCGTTTCTCCAACCTGGCCTGGGTCAGGTTCGGGTTTGGGTTAGCCCCGTCCCCTTGCAGGGCTTGGTGGCCACGTTGCATGAAGGGGACGATTTTGGGCAGCTGGCACTTGTGAATGATGCACCCCGAGCGGCCAGCATCATCCTGAGGGAGGACAACTGCCACTTCCTGAGGGTGGACAAACAGGATTTCAACCGCATCCTCAAGGTGGGCAGCTGGGATCTCCTGTGCTGGGCACCATCCCAGGACCTTCCTGTGGCTGTGGGATGTGGGGTTTGCTCTGGGATGTGCAAAGTGTGGTTGTTGCAGGGGGATGGGATGCAGTGAACCACCGTGCAGTGCCAACAGAGTGCTGGGGTGGAAGAAGCAATGCACTCTGCAGCCCGTGCTGCTTGCTGGCAGCTGGCTTTGCCCAGGGATCAGCCTGGGGAGGACAGGCTGTGGTCACCAAGCCAGGCTGAAGGCTGCTTTCCCCATTTAGGATGTGGAAGCCAACACCATGCGCCTGAAGGAGCACGGGAAGGTGGTGCTGGTGCTGCAAAAGAACCTGCAGGGAGGCAGCAGCCAGCCGACCACGACGCGGAGCAGCAGGTGACAGCAACAGCTGCCCGTCCCCGTCCCTCCTGCTGCAAGCACACTGCTGGCCTTTCCCTGAGCCTTCTCTTGGGGGAATTTGGGGAGAATCGTGGCAATGGGGATGCCAAAGCCGTCCTTGATGCGCTTCAGGTACCTGGTGATGGCTGGGACACCAGAGAAGATCCTGGAGCACCTGCTGGAGTTCATGAGGCTCGACGCCACGCTTTACGACCCCGTGGGTAGGTGGGGGCTGCCCTTTTCTCTCCATCAAATCCCTGCTTTGGGCTGGGAGAACTGCAGAGCGTCTCCTCCCTCCTCTCCCACGTCCCCACACCCCCCACGCAGAGCTGCAGAACAGGGAGAGCCGGGAGCCAGGAGGTGCCCCCAGCGGGTAAAAAATCCCAACTGCAGAACCGGCATCCAACCTCCTCCCCGCGCCCAACTTTTTATGATTTCCATTCCAAAAAGCCTTTCCCTTCATTCCAAAAAATAATACATCCGCATTCTTCTCAGCCCTTTCCTCGGCCTTTAGAAGCTAAACGTGACCCAATGGGAGCTGTGAGGTGGAAGAGCCCATGGCAACCCCACAGGGTTGTCCCCAGCCCGGTGCGGGCGCAGCACAGCGGGGCTGTCTGCTCTCTTCCAGACACACTCCTGGGGGATTTCCTGCTGACCTACACTGTGTTCATGCCGACCTCACAGCTCTGCAGGGCTCTGCTGCATCAATATCCTTCTGCTGCTGATGGGGGGCCCGTGGCATGCAGCCCCTCCTGCAGGGACCACCTTGGTCCCCGTCCCCTTAATGGCGCATTGGGATGGCGGTGGGGACCCCAAATCTCCAAGCGAAGGGCACGTCCCCATTCCCTGTGCTCGTGGTGCGAGGGGTCCTCTGGCTGCCTTTGCCCACATCCTCCATACTGGTGCCCTTAACTGGTCCCAGTTTCCGCGCAGAGCCGCTGGATGGCTCAGAGCAGGAGAAAGCCACCTACTGCCTGCACAAGCGCCGCAAGATCCTGCGCCTGGTGAGCCAGTGGGTGCTGCTCTACGGGCGGCTGCTGCAGGGCGACCGCAGCACCACGGCTCTGCTGCAGGTACTGGGAGCACAGGGCAGCCCCTTGGGGTCCCCACGTCACCGCTGGGTCACACTGAGTGCCCCCCCTGTCCTCCCATAGAACCTCGCTGACCTGGTGAGCCAGGACCCTCGGCTGGGGGCCATGGTGCAGGAGCAGGAGCGGCGGCGGCCCCGAGCGTGAGTGCCACGGGTGTCTCCATCCCATAATGACCCTGTGCCACCTCCGTCCGTTGCGCCCTTGTGCCCTCGGGGTGACTTCAGACATCTCCATCCCATAATGACCTGGTGCCACCTCCACCCTTGTGGCCCTGAGGGCGGCATCCTAAGCCTGCTGCCCTCTTAACGACTCCTTTCCTCCTCTTGGTGCAGGATGGAGAATGGGGACAGCAGCATTTCTCCCCAGCCCAAGGTAGGGGCAGCCCTGGGGGTGTCAGGAACAGGGAGATGGGATCCCCAGAAGCGGGGTATCATGGGGGTGCCACGCTTCCCACTCTCCCCCCTCTCGCTGCAGTCTCGGAGCTCCATGAGCTGGCTCTCCAGCCAAGACGAGGCGGCTTTGAGCAGCAGCTGTGCCTTAAGAGCCCAGGATAAAGGTACAGGGAGTGCGGGCACAGCCATGGCGCCTGATCCCTCCGGATGTGGTCGCAGTGCTGACGCCTCCACCCTGACAGTGCCCTACGAGATCTACAGAGCTGACCATTCGTGCCTGGTGATGGTGCTGCCCGTCAACGCATCGGTGCGGGATGTGCTGCAGTCCCTCGCTCCACAGCTCGGCTGGGATGAAGAGCACCTCCTGGTGAAGGTGAATTCATCCGGAGGTGAGCGGTGGTCCCGGGTCACTCCAGGGTCCCTGAGCTCTGCAGCAGCTCAGCACCCATCCTCCCGTCTCCTGCAGAGAAAGTGGGGCTGCAGCTGGACGCCGTGGGGGTGTTCACCTCGCTGGGGCTCAACGAGAGGCTCTTTGCTGTCAGCGTGGAGGAGCTGAGCAGTTTGGTGAGCTGGGGGGGGGGGGGGGGGGTTGGCATGGGATGGGAGGTGCTGGGGGGGAATCCTCGTGTTGTGGTTCTGGAACTGGGTTGGGCGTCGCTTTGGTCCGTGGAGCTGCTGGCATTGCTTCTGGTCCTTCAGCTCCAGGGGGGTCTGTGAGGTGATTTGGGGGGGCATCTGTGAGTTGAGATAGAGGCGAAGGGTGGGAGTTCAATGAGCTGAGCAGGAGGGAATAGAGGGAGACCCGTGAGCCAGAATGGAGAGGGTTTGATGAGTGAGAGAAAGGAATCAGGGAGCCACGATGGAGAGGATGAAGGGGATTTCAGTGAGCCGGGCGGTAGGGGGGGCATGAATCCCGCTGGAGGAGGTGATTTCAGTGAGCTGAGCAATAGGGGGAGCCATGAAACACAAGGGAAAGGATGGAGGGGATTTCAATAACTGGGCGGTAGGGGGGGACCCATGAACCAAGTGGAGGTAATGGAGGGCCTTGGTGAGCCCAGCTCTGATCCTGGCTCTGGACTGGGGTGTCCCTCACCCCCATTCTGTGTGCAGACCCCCCACCCTGAGCAGTTGGGCCCCCACGTTGGCTCCTCGGACACGTTGGATCTCATCAGCTCCAAAGACCTGGCCAGCCACCTCACAGACCATGACTGGAACCTCTTCAAGAGCATCCACCAGGTAATGGCAGCACCTGGATGCCGGGGAAGGGGGATTCAATCCTCCAGGGTGATTCTGGGGGTCCCCCTGTCACATCTCCGCCCATCCTCTGCCACGCCAGGTGGAGATGATCCACTACATCGTGGGGCCACAGAAGTTCCACGAGGTGACGACAGCCAACCTGGAGCGAATGATGCGGCGTTTCAACGAGCTACAGTACTGGGTGGCCACCGAGCTGTGCCTCTGCCCTGAGCTGGGCAGGAGAGCCCAACTGCTGCGCAAGTTCATCAAGCTGGCTGCACAGTGAGTGTCCCCAGTGTCCCCTCCACCAACTGGGACAGGTTGGTGTCTTCCCCGCTCACCTCATCCCATGGCCGCAGCCTCAAGGAGCAGAAGAATCTGAATTCCTTCTTCGCGGTGATGTTTGGTGTGAGCAACACAGCCGTGAGCCGCCTTGCCAAGACCTGGGAGGTAACAGCCCGTGGGCTCCTGCCACCTCCCCTGGGCTCTGCAGTGACAGATCCGAGTCTCCATGACAAAGATCAGGGGTGGCCAAGCTCCTGGGTTCCCACATGAGCTGCAATCCAAGGCCTGGGGAGGCAGGGAGCGCATTTCCCATGAAGATAAGGATGCAACTATTGGAAGGGACCTTAAAGATCATGGAACCATGGGATGGTTGGGTTGAAAGGGTCCTTAGGGATCATGGAACCATGGGATGGTTGGGTTGAAAGGGACCTTAAAGATCACAGAACCATGGGATGGTTGGGTTGGAGGGGTCCTTAAAGATCATGGAACCATGGAATGGTTGGGTTGGAAGGGTCCTTAGGGATCATAGAACCTTGGGATGGTTGAGTTGGAAGGACCATTGCTGCCAAGCACCCAGACCAAGCAACATCACAGATCCCAAAGAGGGGAATTGGGATGGAGGTCTTGGAGGTGCATGGAGATTTAGGGGGTTGGGGACAGTGGTTCGTGAGGCCATCCTGACCCCCTCTCTGTGCAGAGGCTGCCCCACAAGATCCGTAAGCTGCACGCGGCGCTGGAGCGGATGCTGGTGAGTGCAGCTGCTTCCCATGGCGCTGGAGGGTCTCGGTGATGGGATGGGGTTGAGGGGTCAGGAAGCAGAGCTGGGGGGTTCTGTGCCTGCCCCATGTCTCTGGGTTTACTGCCACTCCATGCTGCTCCTGCTTCCCTTAATACACAGGGATGGCACGGAGGTGGTGCAACGTGTGCTCCCACGTTTGGGATGCGTTGTTCCAGGGCACCCCCTCCCCACATCTCTGCTGCCCCATCAGCCCCCATCCCTCTGCCTGTCCCCAGGACCCATCATGGAACCACCGGGTCTATCGTCTGGCCGTCGCCAAGCTGAGCCCCCCCATCATCCCCTTCGTCCCCCTCCTCCTTAAAGGTGCGTACCACAGCTTTGCGCACCCAGGGGACTGAGAAACCAAACCCAGGGCTCACCCCGACGCCCCCCCCCCCCTCCCTCCACCCTCATCCCCTCCTGTTGCAGACTTGACCTTCATCCACGAGGGCAACCGCACGCTGGCCGAGAACCTCATCAACTTTGAGAAGATGGTGAGTGGCGGTGGGGGGCTGCTCCCCTTGGACCCCCCCTTTGTGGGCGCTGCTTGGCCCAGAGCATCCACGCAGCATCAGCCGTGCCCCACGGTGGGGGTGAGGAGGGCAGTTTCTGCTGAAGCTGCCAGGGTGTTTTCCCAGCTGGGAGCAAAATGGTGCTGGGTGGCAACGAGTCGACCTCTGTGTGCATTGCCCACAGCACATGATGGCGAAGACGGTGCGCGTCCTGCAGCGCTGCCGGGGCCAGGCACATGGTGAGTGGGGCTGGGGGGTTGTGGGGTTTGGGGTGTCATGGGGTTGGGGGTGTCATGGGGCTGGGGGGCCGTCACTCAGCTCCTGCTTTCTGTATGCACCCAGCTCCGCTGTCCCCACTGCGGAATCGCTCCCCACACCGACCAGAGGATGCCAGGGCCGTCAGGATCAGCACATGTAGGTGTGGGGCTGGGCTTTTAATGAGGTTTACTCGTTAAGTGCATTAATAGGGTCCACTGGTGTGCCTGTTGTTCTTTAAAAGTGGAGGGATGTGAACACTGGGATGGTGTTGTTGGTGCCTCGGCATTTCCAGCTGGGCATCACTTTGCCCCATGGAACGCACCTGGTCCCATTTTCTTCTGCTCCTTTAGTGCCAAGGGGGAGGTGGGAGGGTCCTGGGACTGAAACCTTGGAGGTGTTGGGGGGATTTCGTTGAGATGGGCAGTGGGGAATAGAGGGGATCCGTGAGCCACACAAAGAGGGTTCAGTGGGCTGAGCTAAGGGTGATGGAGGGGGATCAGAAAGCCGCAGTTGAGAAGATGGAGGGGATTTCAGTGAGCTGAGCAAGAGGGGGGGGCCCAAGAACCCAACAGGAGATGATGGAGGGGCTTCAAATGAGCTGAGCGAGAGGGGGAACCCATGAACCAAATTGGGGCGATGAAGGGGATTGCAATGAGGTGGGCAGTTTAGGAGGACCCACAAGCCAAGTTGGGGGGGACAGAGGAGGAGCCGTGGGTCAGGCTGCAGGCAGAGATGGGGACGTGAGCAATGAGGAGGGGGGTCTCACTGAGCCCATCCCTCACCCTGCAGGCTCGGAGCAGTCGCTGAGCGTGCGGAGCCCCGTCTCCACCTGGGCGTATCTGCAGCACCTGAAAGCCATCGACAGCCAGAAGGAGCTGCTGCGGCTCTCCAGAGACCTGGAGTCCTGATGGGCAGGAGGGAAAGGGAGCCAGGACTCAGCAGGGACGTGGCACTGTGTGTGCTGATGGCACAGCAGCCCCGTGCCTCTGCTATGGGAGCCAGACCTGTCCGTGCAGTCGGGAGCTCACGGGGGCTGTGGGCAGGTGAGGCCACGGACAGCAGGGTCTGCAGCCCCCACGCAGTGAGCAATAGAGGTATTTTTGTATGCAAGGCTGTGCTCACCTTATTTCTCCATGCAGCAGCCTGCATTCGCTCCTTGCGCTGTCGGGGTGCCATGGGTGCCCCCAGCATCAATGCTGCCTGCTCTGGGGGTGCTGCGCTCCATCCCTCTGTCCTGTTTGCCCCCTGGGATGTGCTGTGTCCTCCATCTCAGCTCCCTGGAGCTGCATGGACCCAGGAGCACAGCTTGGGCTAAGCTCAGCCACTTGCGTGCCTCGGTTTCCCCACATGGACAGGGGAAGAACAGCAGCAGAGATGCGACAGCCTCTGTTGTGGTGGGAGGAAGATGCAGTGATGGAGACGGGGATCAGATCAAGCTGTTCCCAAACCCCCACTCACCCCTCCCCTCACCTCTGGCTGTGCATGGAGCAATGATTGTCCCAGTGCTATAAGCAGGAGGAATGGGGCTGTAGGCTTCAAGGCTGATCCCTGCCCCTAAAGTCTTCCCACATTTGCAGGGTACCAAGCAAGGCTGGGGTACAAGGGACCAAAGCACTGCTGAGTTCCACCTCACAGTTCAGGGGGTTGGGTTGCTTACAATAAAATTCCCCATCACAGCTAAGAGAAGATTCAAATGTTGCAGCCAGCTCCAGGGTGGGACATGGGGTCCTGGGACCCCCCTGTGTTCATGCCATGGCCCTTGGGATCCTCTGCTCCTCGGTTCTGAGGTTGTTCCACCAGTGGGGTTGGGCAGGGGGTCCGGTTCCCATCTTCCTTGGTTCCTGAGTGAGGAGTTTCACCATTTGGGATCCAGGTGTGACCCGCATAGATCTGGGCAGTGCTGGGCACTGACCTCAGCTCTGCCATAGGTCCATCCTCCTACAGCCACACACAGCCCAGCTCTGAGCCCCCAACGCTCAGCAGGCCTCTGCACTCCCCAAAACACACCTGAGGTGTTTGCCCCTGGGTTGACAACACAGGGCACAGCATGGTGTCAGTGCTGGAGCAAGTCCTGCTCTGCTAAACATCCCCGTTTGGAAAGCTGGGACCAACTCTTATCACCCTGTGTCCCCCTGGTTTTGGGCTCCACCTGAACCATCCCTTGACCACATCCAGATGAGCTGGAGCAAAGCAGAGCAGTGATTCCCTGCCATGTGACCCCAAATCAGGCAGCCCGGAGCTCCTTCCATCACCTTCTCCAGGTTCCTTGCCCTCAAGGAGCCCTGATGTGGAGGAGCTCATTTTGGTGAAGGAAGGGTTAAGTGGAAGCTGTGCGCTTTCCAGCTGGATCCCAGCCTGTGGATTACCTTCAGCCTGCAGATCTGCTGCCTGGTTGTGTCCCAGGGCTTCTCCCTTCCTCCTGCAGACACGACGCTGGCCCCAACATCAGGCTTGGCTGCAGGCATCTCTGCTTGACTGGAAAAGCTGAGCCCTGTCTGCTTCTCCTGGTTCAAGCACACCCCGTTCCCTACACTTTCCATAAGCTAAACCCACGCTGGGATTTCCCCAGCAGCACCTCCTCCTTTAGATCCCACCCCACCAGCTGTTCCCATGGGGAGCAGAAGCCCCACAAGGTCGCTGCCCTCCATGGGGAGAAGCCCTGGGTGCAAGAGAAGAGGGCAGGTGCTGGGCTCCCACCTCCTCCACGGGGCTGCTCCACATCCCAACATCTCCTCCTCTTCCTCCTGTGGGGCTGAAGGACCCATCGCCCATCCCAGCATCCCGGAGAGGAGCAGAATGGACGCCCCATGGCTGCAGCCAAAACCCAGTGCCTGGGTATCGCTCTCAACTTCTTGCAGCCAGGAATCTTTCTTTCTTTTCCCTGTTTCCTCCACCTTTGCTGTTTGTTGGACATTTTCCCCATCGGTGTTGAACAACTGGCATTCATCAGAGCCCAACCCGGGTGCCTGAGGGTGATGGCAAGCTGGTCCCAAAGCAATTACAGGCATGAGAAAATCCCAAATCTCACAGCATCTCCCAGCTTGGTCATGTGCAGGGTGTGAGAGACACTCAGCTCATGATGACACCGAATCATCCCAGAAAACAAAACTGCTGTCAGCACGGACGTGTCAGCGGGGTCAGCAGCTCGGGGAGGAGGATAGGAAATGACAGAGGGGTGAGAAGGATGCCAAACCTTTTTTCCTTACGGAACTGCTCAGCTGTGTGCCAAGGGGTCAGGATGGGTGCTGCTGGAGGGGTCACAGGTTGCATCCACTGGGCTGGGTGCTGTTCAGAGCAGGGACATCTGCTTGGGGTGGGGGTTTGGAGGGGGGTGGTCGTGGATCTTGCTGGTGGTGATGAGGAGGGGATGGGCAGAAGGAAAATGCAGCTCCCAGGGCTGCAAGCAGGGCTGGTGGCGGGGCTCTCTGGGGAAGCACAGGCAGGGGGATGCGGGGATGCAGCACCCAGTGACACCAATACCCGCCCTGATCCCCCTTGGAGGTGAGGACCCCCCTCCCAACCCCCCCAAGATGCTTTCCCTTTGCTCCACAACCGTCACCCTGGGGAAGTGCAGGCAGAGAAGTGGAGCAATCCCAGGAGCTGGAATTACCAGCCCTCCTCCCACTCTGGGCAGGCTGTAATTAGGACACACGTAATGAGCTCTGGTGAAGTTGGGGTGCAGCCTGCAGTGAGGTCCTTGGTTTCACCAGGCTCCTCCCTCCGCTCTGGGGACCCGCATATAGCAGGGAGAGCTCAGCAGCACCCACATTACTGCCAGAGAGCCGAGATGCTGCGAAGCACCGGGATGATGAAGGCCTTCATCCTCTTCCTCGGGGTGGGAATGGCCTTGGGCTGTGAGTACCGGAGCTCAGCGTGGGGAGGGGGCCACACTGGGCTGAAGGAAGGGGGGATTTGGGGAGTGGGGAGCTCAGGGTGCACCAGGTGCTTGGAATGGGGTCGGATCTTTCCCAAAGAGTGGGGGATATTTCCACGCTGGAGGGTTTCCTTGGGTTTCTGCTGGTGATGGAATGGGGGTTGTCCTTCTCTTGGCTGGGTTTTGGGCACGCTGCCGTGCTCTCCTCCTGCAAACCCACCTTCCCTCTGCTCCTTCATCCTGGGAGAGCAACGAGGGCGATTTCTCCACTTCCTTACCCACAAACCTGCTGCTGGATGGGGGGTGGTGAAAACCAGCGTCTGCGAGGCACAACATGAGCCTGGATGTTTTGCCCACGGCAAGCACCAGCCAAAGCTCCCAGACAGCACAGCTCAGCCACACCAGCACAGCTCCAGCGCTCAGACTGGAAGCACACCGGGATGCTCTGGGGCTCCCAGCACCCCAGGCTCTCACCTGGCTTCACCTCGAGCCAGCTCACACCTCGGGCAGTGAGCAAAGCAGTGTGAAAGCTGTCATCACCTCCCTGTGCATCACCAGAACTGCCTGCAGCTTCCAGAGCTGCGAGCATCCCTGGTCGACAGGGCAGCACCTGTGGGACAGGTCTGGTGGCAGCGGGTTTGGTCACCCCATCATCGGTCACACAAGAGGTGCTTGCGGAGCTCGGGGATCATCCTTGCAGCTGTTGGTGTGAGTTGGAGGGCTCAGCCCCACTCTGCATAGCCAGGAGCTGCAATGCAATGCAATGCACGCCAAAAAAAAAGGGTTTGAGAGATGGGGCAGAGCGGGGCTCAAAGGATGCATGGGTAGGGATGGCTGCTGCAATAAGGAGCAGCGCCTGAGCATCGTGCTTTTGGCTCTGCTCATCGGCGCGCCGCACGTGATGAGCTGCTGCCGCTGCTGCATTCTTGGATGAAGCGTGGACCTGTGGTCTGTTCTCGAGCAAAGGAGTTTCATCACCATTCTGATGCTGTGAGCTGTGTCTGACGCTCCAGGAGCAGGTGGCTCAACCCAGGATGAGCAGTGAGGAGTTTTGCAAGGCCAAGGTGTAAGAGGAGCTGCTTCCACGTTGGGCTGCCCATGAGGAGTCACCACGTCCTCATCCTGATTAATGACCCTCGCGAGGAAGCACGGGTCTGGCTGAGGAGCTGAAGGGCTTTTTGGCTCCATGCAGGCAGAGTATCCACTGTTCTTGGCACAAACTCAATGCAGACTCCATCGTTTGGGGGCCGTTCTGAGGATTTGGCTGCCAAAACCACATTTGTCCTCAACTTGCCTCATTTGGCAACCGTCGGAAGAGGATTCTGCCGAGGGAGGGCAGGAAGATTGAGTCCTGTCCAGGGGAGTGATGGGCCAGAGATGAGGGCAGGAGGACGAGCCTGGGTCTCTCCACACAGATCCCAGCATCTTTTGGGCACAGCATCCCCTGGGCACAGCATCCTTTGGGCCCAGCATTTGGGCACAGCATCCTTTGGGCACAGAGTTTGGGCACAACATCCCAATGGGCACGGCATCCTCTGGGCACAGCATTTTGGCACAGCATCCCAATGGGCACAGCATCCTCTGGGCACAGCATTTTGGCACAGCATCCTTTGGGCACAGCATTGCACAGATGCACAGATGCTGAGCACTGCAGCATCCCTCTCCTCCTGACCTCCTTCAGCACTGCCAGCTCTCCCTTTGGTTCTTCTCCCTAAAGAGTGTTCCAGCAGTTCTAACGTAACCATGAAGAGTTGCAGGCTGCCCTATGGCTGTTTTTAGGTTCAAACCTGGTGAGCAAACACCCTCCTGCAGCCATCCCACTGCAGGGAAAAGCCTGGGATGCTGCAGCTCTTCTTGCATCCGAGCCTTGGAAGGGAACGGCCGATGCTGAGCTCTCTCTGAAGGCTCTGTGCAGCTCCCAGCCCTGCTGAGCTGCAGTGCATCCCAGCGCTGGGCTTTGCCATAACACGCTCAGGGAACTTCTCAGCGCTGACCCACGCGTGGGCAGTTCCTGCCTTGTGCAATCCCTCCAGGGCTGCAGCTGGAAAATGAGCCTGGATGTGTCATTCGGGGTGACTGATCCCCACTGGTGCTTTGGGAGTGAGAGGGATGGAAACAAGACGGGGATTGCTGCTGCTCATCCCCACTGGGGCTCCAGACCTGCTCAGTTGGGTGACCTGGGGGCAGATGGAGCAACGCTCACCTCAAACTACTGGATGGGACGAAGTAGAACCACAGGCGAATCTCCTCCAGGAGCACCCCAGGAAGCCAAGCAGCACTCAGCAGTGCTGAGCAGGAGGTGCTGAGGCAGAGAGGTTCTTCCCTCCCACCACCCCCCGTAGTTTGGCAGCTCCAAAACAGCAGAACTGGGGCGAAACGCACAACAACAGAGCAATGGATGCGGTTGCAGGGAGAAATCACTCAGTGCAACACTCAGAGGTCACGACAAAGGTTGGGGTTTGCCAATGCTGTCTCTCACCTTGGTGCCGTACAGCACCCTGCGAGGGCCCCTCGTCCTTTTGGGACACGGCGTTGGCACTGCTCATAGCACAGCTTGGGGCTCAGCTCTAATTTTAGGTGCGTAATGGAGCTGCGTGATGCATGGGTGGTATAAACAGCTCAGGAAGGAGTCCCCTGTTTTCATTGCGAATTGCAAATAAAGGCGTCTGGAATGCGGTGCTGCTCTGGGCCATGGGCTGAGGCGGGCATTAGTGGGTGAATCAGGGCAGGGATGAATGAAGGAGCCAGGAAGGCGCTTCCTGGTGCCAAGTGGCCGCAACGTCTCTGTAGCTGAATGACCACAGAGAAGCTGTCCTGAGGACTCACCTGATCCAAACCCAACTCATCCAACCCAAAGGTTCCTGAGTAAGCTCCAGCCGTGGAGCTTGGTCTGTTTTGCTCTGCCAAAATGAGGAGGGAATGGCGTCAGAGCGCACAGCCAGCGCTTTGGGCACTGGGATGCTGCAGATTGAGGGGCTGCTCAGCCCCACAGCAGCCAGAGTTCCTCTTCTTCCCCCTGCACACCCCCAGTGTGGCTGTCTCCATGTTGTCCCTTTGTCCCCATGCCCCTTTGTCCCCATGCTGTCTCCTTGTCTCCTTGCTGTCCACCAGGACCCAGAAGGAAGATCCTCTCCCGGATTTGGGTCTGGATGGAGCAGGGCTGCTGGTCCACCCCACAGAACCACACTGTTGTTTCTCTCCCCCAAAGCCCTGTACACGGACCCCGACTCCTGCAGGGGACGCTGCGAGGAACCCTACAGCCACGAGGATGAGTGCCACTGCGACGCCGACTGCCGGAGCCGCAACAGCTGCTGCTGGGATTACCTGGAGCACTGCGGGGCGGGTGAGCATGGATGGGTGGGCAGCACCCAGCGATGGGGTGCAGAGGGCTGAATGCATCCGCCTGCGCTGCTTCGCAGTTGGGTGCACGGTCCTGGGCGCAGCTCCTTCACCCTGAGCTCTTCTCTTGGCTCCGTGCAGGTGAGGAAGCGGTGCACAGACGTGCTGAAGGTGAGCAGCGTCACCCCACAGGGATTGCGGGGAGCAGCATCGCACCTGAAGGCTTCTACCCAAAAAAGGAGGGCTTGGTGATGGCTGGGAGCACCCCTCCATGCTCTGGGGTCGTGCCATGCCCCCCCAGCTCCCATCTCTCTCCTCAGAGCACTTCTCCAGCAGCCACGATGCCATCAGCGATGAGGAGCTGCTCCACGTCTCCGAGCAGCTCTATGGGGCGGATCGCAACAAGGCTCAACCCAAAGACATCGCCATCAACCCACAGCACCGGGCTGACCCCGACCAAACGGGGCTCCAGGAGGATCGCTCCCCCGAGCCGTGAGTGTGTTTCACCAGTGCACGGCCGGGAGGTTGGGCTGGATGGTCTTAAAGGGCTTTTCCAGCCTTAATGATTCTATGGTTCCAAGGGGATGCCGTGGTCAGGACCCCAACAGCTGGGCTTGGGGGCAGGGATGGTTTTTACGTGGGATCTCTACTCATAGAGCTGTAGAATCATGGAATCATTCAGGTTGGAAAAGACCTCCAGGATCTCGAGGTCCAACCCCAGCCCGTCCCCCCATGCCCGCTGACCTCGTCCCCAAGTGCCACATCCCTGCCATTCCTTGTCCCCTCCTGGGTCGGCGGCCCCACCACCTCCCTGGGCAATCCATGCCAATGCATTACCACTCTTTTGGAGAAGAAATTGTCCGTAATATCCAACACAAAGCTCCCCTGGTGCAACCGAAGGCCATCATTTCTCATCCCCTCCTCACTCCAACCTCCTTTCAGGGCGCTGTTGAGAGCAATAATGTCACCCCTGATCCCCCCTTTGAGAGTGAACCACCCCAGTCCCCATCACATCTGTGCTCCAGACCCCTGCCAGCTCCATTCCCCTCTCTGGATGCACTCCAACACCTCCATGTCTTTCCTGGCTGGTTGTTATGACCCAAGTGCAGCACTTGGCCTTACTGAACCTCATCCCATTGACCTCAACCCATGGATTCAGCCCACCCGGACCCCTCTATAGGACCTCCCTACCCCTCTCCTCCCCAGCTCACGTCCTGCTCTCTCCCAGGCTCTATGCATACGTCAACGAGAAGCTCTTCTCCAAACCCACCTACGCCAGCTTCATCCGTTTGCTGGACAACTACCAGAGGGCGACGGGTCGTGAGGAGGAGGTGACGGCCGAGGAGCTGCAGGAGCAGAACGTCTTCCTCCGGGAGGTGATGAAGACGGAGCTCATGAAGAAACTTTTTGCTTTCCTCCATAAAAAAAGTGAGCGTGGATCAAGGCAGGGGCCGGCCGTGATGGGGTCCGTGTGCTGATCCAGCAGCTCTTTCCCTCTGCATGCAGATCGTTACGGCTCCGAGGAGGAATTCCTGCAGGATCTGAAGGAGATGTGGTTTGGGCTCTACTCCCGAGGTGATGGAGAGAAGGACTCCAGCGGCTTCGAGCACGTCTTCTCAGGTGGAGCGCACCCCAGGAGGATGGGGAACGTGGGACGGCTCCTCGGGGTCCTGGATGGGGGATTTGGGTTGGGTTGGGGGTCCTGGATGGGGGATTTGGGTTGGGGGAGGCACAGTGGAGCAGAGCTGGGATTTGGGGCGTTCGGCCCCATCTGAGCACATCCCTGGTTTAAGGGGGGCAAAGCTGGGGGATTTGGGGTGAGGGTGCCCGGCTCACCTTGATTCTCCTTTGTGTTTAGGGGAGATCAAGAAAGGGAAAGTGAGTGGATTTCACAACTGGATCCGCTTCTACCTCCTGGAAAAGCAGGGACTGGTCAACTACTTCAGCCACAACTTCGATGGGCCGGTGAGCCACGCCATGGGGCAATGCAGGATTTGGGCAGGGAGCGCTGACCCCACTCCATCAGCTGCATCCCAAGACCCCCAGGACGTGGGGCAGAGCTACTCAGCCTGCTGCGTCCCTGTGTAGGGACCTTGGGACGGAAGCAGGGTGGGCAGATCCCACTGCAGTGGGCGAATGGGGCAGATGTGGGGCTGGGAGTGCCCTGCTTGGGGTGCAGCCAGGCTTTGCTTGGCTCCTGTGCCCTGCTATGGAGGATCTCATCCCCAAACCCCTTTCTGCTGCTTCCAGTGGGACACCTACCCTGATGTACTGGGGCTGCAGTTCAGCTGGGACGGCTTCTACAAGGAGGTGGGCTCTGCCTTCATCGGCTGCAGCCCCGAGTTTGAATTTGGCATCTACACGTTGTGCTTCATTGCCCGACCTGGGAGGGCGTAAGTACTGCGTCCGTCTGTCTGTCTGTCCTCTGGCCACGGAGCCGGCGGCGCCTTCCTGTCCCCACTCTGGATTTGGGGAACCCTATGGAGCAGCTGAGCCAGGTCCCACTGCCCTCAGCTTTGGGGTGGGGTTGGGGGCGTGGGGACACCCTATGGAGGCGATGGTGTGGGGCAGAGCTGTATGTCCCCACAGATGTCACCTGAGCTTGGGTGGCCACGGCGTCAGCATCCAGACCTACACCTGGACCAAGTCCACCTACGGCCATGGCAAAAAATACATCGCCACTGCCTATGTCATCTCACCCTGAGCCCATCCACGTCCTGGCCAGGAGGAACGGGGCGTCTGCAGCCCCTCTGCTCCGGGGCCATGGGCTGCCCCACAGCACAGCCCCCTATATGGGGCAGGAGTGGTCCTGCCCTGGGAGACGGATGGCCACGGGACCTGTGTGGAGCAGGACAACCCATATGGAGGCTGTGGGGGGATGGAGGTGGCAGCCCTGGTGCCATGGAGTGTGGCACTGCCTGCTGACAGCAGGAGAGCCGGGGAGCTGCGAGAGATTTGCAGTGGACAGAAGCAACCTCAAGTGGAATAAATACTGAGGCTGGAAGGAAAGGCGTTCAGTTCCTCACTGCTGTGGGTCAGGGTGGGTTTGGGGGCCTCCGTGCTGCTCACCCATCTGGAGCAACACCCCAAAAATTGTCCCCCACCCCTCTTTCTCCCAGCCATGCAGCCATCTGGGTGCTAACAGGCTAATTCCTGCTCCAGTGGGTCCTGCCCCAAGGAATTGCCCCACTGGGGCCCTCTGAGCTTCTGTGTCCCTCAAGCTGTGTCCCTGAGGCTCTGTCCCCTCCCCGAGGACCATCGCAGGGGAACTGGGGGCTGCCTGCACCGAAGCCCAGCTGAACTCTCCCCAGAGACCCCCAGCTCTCCCCAGTGCCCCCCAGCACAGAGCACAAAGCGGGGAGCCCCGTGTGCAGCTTGTCCAAAGGAGACAACACCTATTGTAACTCCATCCCCCCATATCCCCACAAAGCCCCCACATCCTGGGGTTGACAAAGACCCCAAAAACTGTGCTGAGCCCCCTCAAAACCTCTCCTCCCCGTGCTCAGCCTCATATGTACACCTTTCCTCCTCTCCTTAGGATTTCGGGTGCTCCTGGCAGGACAGCCACAAGCAGCAGGGCAACTTTATGTGTGTATGCGCGTGTGTCCCACCCTATTTACATCCCCCCCCCCCATTCACGTCATTCCCCCCTCCCCCCTTTTGCAGCAGCACGGGGTCCCAGGGTGGGGATGCTGCTCTGGCGGGCAGCACTGCTGAGATTGGAGCTGCCCGACAGATGGCGGCTGCAACAGTTCCTGGCGGAGGGCTGGGCGTCCCCGCGCCATCTGCCAGGGGTCACAGGTGACCCCCCAAACCCCGCCGAAGGGGAGGGGGGCATGCCAGAGCGTGATTTATAGGGATGCACTGGGGAGCGTCGGGGGGGGGGGGGGGGGGGGGACGGCCGGGTGCAGGGTTGGGGGGGTGGATCTCTCTCTCTCTTTCCCCAGCTCTGTGCCATGCATTCGGGCGCATGCAGGAGCTGCGGGGGGATGCTCTCCTGCTGGGATGGGTTTGCAGGGGGCAGATTGCACAGGGCAGAGCGCAGGGGGGTGATGATGCCCCCTGTATCTGCTTGCTGGAGCTCACCCTAAAGCTTTCCAGCGGAGCTGTCAAGGCAGCTGGTGGCGGCTGCTTGTCGCAGGGCTGCCCTGGCACAGCACCCAGCTCCTCCTCCCCAACCCCATCCTCCACGTGCCCACCTCAGATATCCTCCCCGTGATGCCCAACTGCCCTTTCCTGTCCTTCCAGCGGGATCCCAGCACCACGGAGGTTGCAGCTCTCCTCTTTGCAGCTGCAGGGCGCCCAGGGCTGATTTCCCTGCAGCCGTTTCTGGGGTGAACGGAGGCAAAGCCCAGCAGGAACAGCTCACCCACCTCACTCCCATTCTGCTGCGATGGGGATGGGGTGAAGTGCTGAGAGATGCTTGGGGGATGCTGGGGAGCTGATGTTCACTTTGGCTGCATCCAGGAGGACGTTCCCTTGCTGCTGCAGACTCAGGAGGTGCAAGAAGGAAGGAGGAGGGCACGTTCCTGGGAATCAGCTTCGTCTGGAAGCTGGCAGCCGGGACCTGAAGGCTGCAGATAACACCCAGCAGCAGAGCACAGCCAGAGGGTCGGTGTGGGCACAGTCCCTGCTCCAGCCTTGACCCACAGCATCCACAGGGACGTGGCCAAGGACCTTGAAGATCCATCGGGGTCCGGCACGCTGTGCACTGCTGGAAGGGACCCCAAGACCTTCCCTAGGGCCACCCCATCCCTCCCCGTCTCCCCGCCCCGGGGACAGACTCTGCAGAGAGGAGAGGAACCCCCAGAAAGTGTTGGGAAATGAAACAAAACAAGCGGAGAAGAAAGGGAAGGGCAGAAGCAGGGCGGAGAGGAGGGGCAGGTGTCAGCAAGCTGCCTCCAGCCATCTGTTGCCAGCTTGGGGATTCGGGGCCCCCCCAGAGCTGCGTCTGATGGGGACGATGCTCAATCTCGGGGGGGACACGAGGCCGCATCCCCCACCTGAGCGCAGTCGGGGATGTGGGGCTGAGAGGGAGTGTGGGGGAGGCGGGGGGCTGCACCCAGGAGGAACGGGGCCGTCCCCGCGGTGCCCCACAGAAACTCGCCTGGCAGATGTGCCCCCTCCTACAGTCAGGGTTATGCGAGGCGAGGTTGAGAGAGCAGCCCTGAAATGTGGCTTTGGGGGATGCGCAAAGGTGACGGGCATCGTGCAGAGGGGCTGCGGGATGCGGTGAGCACCTCTGGGCAGGGCACCGTGTCTGCATCCCCTGGGTAAGCTGAGCAGCTCCAAACGTGGGCAAGAGGCCCCCAGGAAGGTCGTCCTCCTGAGGGACGACGCTGGCATGGGTCTGCCCCACACCCCATGGGTCAACCCTACACCCCACAGCCAGACCCTGAGTGCCACACCGCCCCCATGGGAGCTTTGCAGAGTGAGGATGAGGAGGGTCCCAGCTCCCCGTGAGCCCTGCTTGTGCGTGTGTGTGTGTGTGACATCCTAATCCCAGAGACCTTGGGGAGCGGGACGCTGAGCTTTAATCCCCTTCCGTAAGCGATACGGCCCTAACTGCCCCGATGGGACTCCGACCACATCTGGTCACACAGCCCACGGGGCTGCCCTGCACGGCGCTGCGCTAAGAGGATGAGGATGCAGAGGGGGACAGGATAAACCATTTACGCCGCGGGCGCTGTTCTCTCGGCGGCGATCAGATGTCGGAGCTGGGGCTCCAGCTGGGCACGCGGCACCTCGGAGGCCCCCCCCCTCCTCGCTTCTTGTCCCGTGCAAAGAGCCCCACGTCATGCAGCCACCTGCCGTCCTGCTCTCTATGCTCGGTGCTGTGGCAGAAATGCCCCCCAGCAGCCCCCCGCCCTCCCAGCACCAACCCCATGCTCTGCCCTGCGCTGCAACGCTCAGCTCTGCGCCAAGGAGGGAGATGCTGTCCCGAGCACGGGGAGAGCAGGAAGGGGCTCAGAAAGCTGCTATCCCTGCCCTGAGTGGAGGAAATGACCCCAAATAAGCTCAGGTGCTCCTTTGAACATCTTAGAACAGAGCCAGTGGCCGTGCTCCCTTCTCCCCCCCGTTCATTTGGGGATGTGGGAGAGGGGCTGAATCCTGCTGCCAGGCTCTGGGCACCACGAATCCTCCTCTCGCAGCTAATGTTTCCCTCTGGGCTGCAAACCCAGAGCCCCTCCTGAGGGGGCATCGCTGGCAGCTGGGCTGGGGGCTGCGCTCAGAGCCGGGTTAACGAGCGCAGCCCCACAGCGCGGCCGTTAGCACATATGGGAGCGTGAGCGGGGAGCGACGCGTGCCGGGATCCTGGAGGCGTTTGAGTCAGAGCTTCCTCTTCTCCATCACTTCTCACAGCTGCAGGCTCCGTTCCAGCCACAGTGAGAGGGCAGCGACGGTCCGACTACGGAGATGCTCAGAGCCACCCCCCTGCATCCCTCCTGCATCCCTTCTTTATCCCCCACATATCCTTCTTGCGCCCCCCTCCATTCACCCTACATCTTTCCTGCATTCCCCACGCACCCCTCCTGCACCCCTCCTGCATCCTCCCTGCACCTCCCATCCGCTCCCCATTGCATCCCCCCCTGCACCTCCCTACATCCCTCCTGCATCCCCCCCATATCCTCCCTGAAACCCTCCCCCTCCCCCCCCCACATCCCTCCTGATCCTCCTGCACCACTCCTCATTGCATCCATCCTGCATCCCCCCTGCACCTTCCATCCACTCCCCATTGCATCCCCCCCTGCATCCTCCCTACATCCCTCCTGCATCCCCCCCCATATCCTCCCTGAAACCCTCCCCCCCCATCCCTCCTGATCCTCCTACATCCCTCCTGCACCCCTCCTTCATCCCCCACTCATCTTCCCTGCCTCCCCCCTACATCCCACCTGCATCCCCCCCCCCCCGATCCCTCCCAGCACAGAGCAGCGGGTGTGGATCAGGCGCACTGATGGGATGCTGCTCCCGGTGCTGTTGACCCACAGCTGTCTGCAGCCGTTGCAGAGCCACAGCAGTTGCCGTGAGCTGTGACCAACGGCCGGGGCCGACTGTGTCCCCTCTCCCCGTGTCCCCACCCCCCCCTTCCCCCCCCCGGTGAGGGACACCCCATGGGGACGCGGAGCAGCCAACTGTTCCCCGCTGAGGCCGGCGGGCCGCAGCCCGGGCTAATCCAATCCATCAGGGGGGTAATGAGCTATGAAAGTGCGGATTCAATTAAGGGGGATTGCGACGGAAGGCAGAGCCCGGTGGCAGACGGAGAAAGGAGAGCTCTCCCCTCTGAAAGGGTCCATCTGTGCCGCCGGGTCCCGTCTTTGTGCTCCCTGAAAGGGACAGCGGTGCACAAAAGCGGCCGCAGAGGCTGCGGTGCTCCCTATTTCCCCCGGGGGGGGGAAAGAGAGGGGGGGGGAAACTGAGGCACAGAGGGGAGAAGGAAGCAGCACCAGGTTGGGTTTGGGGAGCAAAACTCACGGCCTTATGGATGCATGCTGGTTTGTGGGTGCTTTCTATTCCCTCTTGGAGCTGGGGGTCCCTTGGTGGGCTCTCCATGGCCCCGTTGCCCAGACGAGCCCCCAAGCTCTGTGCTTTGCCCCCCTACATTGAAGCTCAGTGCCTCAGTTTCCCCATCTGGATGGGGGATGCACCCAGGGGTGCGTGCAAAGCCTTGAGTTCCAACCTCTCCTCAGCTCCGTGCATCCCTGTGGGATCCCACAAGCCTAGAAACCCCCCCTTTTTTTTTCTCTCCCCCCCCCTTTGGGGGCTCTTCATCAGAGAGCCGCCCCCTGATTGCGACCAGGGGGGGATTGGGATGGGGACGAGTTTAAAGACAGGATTATTCCTGTACAAATTCTGATTAAACCGTCCCCAAGCCCTCCTGCTACAAGATTAAGCAGAGCTCTAATCTCACCCGAGCAGCAAGACTTCGTCAATAACTCCAAATCTCTCCGCTGTTAGTTTATCTGGTGGGGATTAAAGCAGGGAGGTTCCTG